GCTAACTTATGCTAGCAGAAACTGACCCTGTACGTTTGATTATCTTGATTATTGAAATGTCCCCTAGATGTCCTTACCAACCTCCCTCCCCTGGTTATCTGCCCTTCCATTACTCCCCCCCCCCTCTTTTTCTCTCTTTCCCTTCCTCACCTCATCCTTTCTGGTTTAGGGCAACTGAAGGGTATTATATTAATTTTCTAATCTGTGTATGTGACTACTGTGTATTGACTCTACATGGATTGTCCATCATCTGTGTATTACTGTGTTTTTCCTTTTTTCAGCACTAATGCTGCTGTATACCGAAATGAACCTTTGCTTACTACTCTGTTAAATGTTTTAATAAAAAACGCTATTTTTTTTTAATAAAAAGGCTTATTTTTTGTTTGATATAGTAACATTGTAGCGTAAATTATTGTTGTTTGTTTCTGATCATGAACAGTCATTCGTATCCAATTTATCTTTCAAGAAAAAAGTACATATTAAACGAAAGTCGTTAGTTCTATTCACGTACAATATCAATTTTGGAGTTGTCCCTTTGAAAACTTTTATTTGGAATCGGATATCGAAAGATGTAAACACACTATATGTAAATTGAACGATCTTTCCTTGTACTTTATGTCTTTCCTTATCTGCCAAAAGTGTACTGGAATCACCCAGAGGTCTGTCTCCCTACTGCTGTGCGAAAGGGCATGTGAACAGGACATTGACTTTGTGGATTGTATTTGATATATGTATAATATGAGGAGTCAATGAAGCATGTAATGGTTCATTGTGAATGTGGAACTCTTACTTCTTTATGTGTGTTCAAGCCTGAAATATAATGTAACATGCCGATAAATGCTATGTAACCGTAACTACTACATAATCTTCCTGTGTTTGGCAGCTCTAACTGCTCGGCTTGTTGCAGTTAAATAGCTTAGACATAGGAAAAGTGCTGTTGCTATAATGCTCTACTACTAACCAAGCTGCTCTATCATTTAGGGTGTGACACCATAAGGGCCATGTCAAATCGGCAACTTTGTAGCAGCTACAAAAATCTCAGCTTATTTTCTATGGTGATTGTAAAATAGCTGGTCACAAAGTTGCTGTTATAACTGGCTATATGCCTTTTTATGCAGCTTTATAAATCTCTAGTATCTCTACTGTATTGGACTGCATGATTAGCTACTGAAGCTGGTGAATTTGTAGCTATCTTCAAATGCTGCAAAAAGTCAATCACTCGGTGACGGAGCTACTGATCACTGGAATCTCTGTGCATGGACTGCAATTCAATTTTTTTCTAGCATCAAAAATAAAGTAAGGAATGCAACTCAATATACTGCTACAAAATGTCTGTTAATGTGATGGACCATACAGTTTGTGAAGCTGATGGCTTTGGCTAATGTGCCTGCTTCTTGCTAATTTGCTGCTTTTACATTACAAATAAAAAATGTAAAAATCTTAGTTGCATGTTTAAAGCTAAACTCCAGGCACATATTAAATCGCACCAATGAATGCAGTTATTTAGTCATTTACAAATCTTTAAATGCTACTAGTTTAAAGCAGTAGTAAACACTACTTGGACACTTGGACCTACAGGTAAATTTTATAATAAAGCTTACCTGAAGGTACAAGGAATATCTCCTAAACATGTCCCGTTTAGGAGATATTCACTGTTTCTGCAGCCGGTGACATCACCGGTGTATGTGCTCTATGCAACAGTTTGCTACCGCTTTTAAGTAGTTCTAAAGGCAAAAAGTTTTTTTACCTTAATGTATTATCTGCAGTAAGGTAAAAAACTTTCCAATGTGCGTGCTTCCTTCAGCACTTACAGTTGCAAGAAAAAGTATGTGAACCCCTTGGGATTACGTGGAGTTTTGCATGAATTGGGCATAAAATGTGCTCTGAACGTCATCTAAGTCACAGCAATAGAAGAACACAGTCTGCTGAACATAATACTACACAAACATTAGATGTTGCCATGCTTTAATTGCACATAACATGTAAACATTTACAGTGCAGGGAGGAAAAAGTATGTGAACCTTTGGACTTAATAACTGGTTGACCCTCCTTTGGCAGCAATAACCTCAACCAAACGTTTCCTGTAGTTGCAGATCAGACCTGCACAACGATCTGGAGTAATTTTGGACCACTCCTCTTCACAAAACTGTTTCAGTGTAGCAATATTCTTGGGATGTCTGGTGTCAATCGCTCTCTTAAGGTCATGCCACAGCATTTCAATCGGGTTGAGGTCAGGACTCTGACTGGGCTACTCCAGAAGGCGTAGTCTGTGCTGTTGCAGGCATTGTTTTGTTGAATTACTTGTATGCTTTGGGTCATTGTCCTGTTGCATCACCCATCCTCTGCGGAGCTTCAGTTGGCGGACAGATGGTCGTACGTTTTCCTGCAAAATGTCTTGATAAACTCTGGAATTCATTTTCCCATCAATGACAACAATCTGTCCAGGCCCTGAGGCAGCAAAGCAGCCCCAAACCATGATGCTCCCTCCGCCATGTTTTACAGTGGGGATGAGGTTTTTGATGTCAAGGTTGGCTCACTCCTGGCTCCAATTAGCTCTGGGAGAAGTCATTAAGCTAGGGCCTCACATACTGTTTCCTCCCTGCACTGTGAATGTTTACATGTTATGTGCAATTAAACCATGGCAACATCTAATGTTTGTGTAGTATTATGTTCAGCAGACTGTGTTCTTCTATTGTTGTGACTTAGATGACGTTCAGAGCACATTTTATGCCCAATTCATGCAAAACTCCACATAATCCCAAGGGATTCACATACTTTTTCTTGCAACTGTACCTGCCACCACTCTTGATCGAGGATGGTCCCCACCAGCAGCCCAATGCTTTCTGCATTCACAGGCTTTACTAAAAGCATTGGCTCCTGCTGCTGTCAGTCAAAACCTGTAAGGAGGGAGTTGGGGGGGAGGGGGTTCGAGGTTGAGCCACGCTGTGTGTGTCTATGGATGCAGGAGCAGGAACGAGTCCACAAGTATGCCCCTATAGGAAGTGGTTTGCTGGTGGCATATGGAGAACAGGAGGAGCCAAAAGCACCGGCGGGGGACCCCAGAAAACAGGTTAGTATAACATGTTTATTATTGAAAAAAAAAAAAATCTAGCTTTACAATCACTTTACGTACTTGCATTTGTACTTTGTCTATGCAGGTATAACATGTGTCCTTCAACAATCTGTACTGTCACTGCAGTGGAGGTCCAGGATCTGGATGTGCTGTTTGGAAGGGGTGTCAAGATCGCAAATGCAGCCACCCAGAACTACTAATACTTTGGGAAGTGAAAGGTTTCCTAAGGGCTCATTTACATCACAATCCCAGAGCATGTTGATTACTTGCATTTGCAATGCATTTCCAGTGCATTGTTTCAACATTTTTTCTTTTTTTAATGAATTCCATGTACATGCATTTGTGGTGTTTTCCAGTAAATTTATGAGTGAAAAAATACAGGCTGCTGTTCTTTTTTTTAATATGCACACAAAAGCACTGCAAAGGTGTACATTAAGCTGATTGAAATACAATTATTTTTCTTGCATATGCTTTTGTACTGCATTTAAATATGCATTCGACTTCATCTGGTGTAAACAAGCCCTTATACATATTTTAACTGTTGTTTTAGCTGAAGCAAAAAGAAAAAGGACGCCACACACCAGATAGATCATGCATGTCCATATTTATTGTAAAAAACATCCATGAACATGGCAGTGGGAGACGACATGTGGACATGTAAGATCTATCCGATATGCAGCAGCCTGTTTCTCTTTGCTTTTAGTGAGTGAGCATGAATGGCTCAGTTTGCGTCCAACACTCGGGGTAAAAGTGCCGGCAGGGAGAAGCTACCTGGAGCAGAGCGTTCCTTCCATCCTAGGCAATCTAAATGTGTAGTTAGCTGTTTGCAATAATTATACTAAAGCTCTGAAAAATGTTTGTGGGCCTCATGGATAAAATTCAAGAAATGTGTCTTTGTTGCCACAAATACTTCCCTTCATTTCTGAACCTGCTCTAGCAAATCAACAATAGACTTTGATTAGTCTCTTGGTACAAATGAGATGCTTTTTCATCCATTTTACCTATATAATAATATACATAAGAAACACTTTGAAGCAACTGCTGCACCTAAATATACTTGATGCAAAGATAGTAAATACATTCTTCCCTGCCTGCACGGCTGAAAACCTCTCCATTGAAGAGCATTCCTTACACAGAAGATCGACACTTCCTGGAGTGTCATAAGTGGGCACTGTCATCTTCTTCAGCAAGTTCTATTTTTGTAACAATCTTCTTTACAGGTATAACTTTTATCAAACTTAACAGAGTCACATTTTTATGACAACAGATGTCAAAGAATTTTGGATTAAATGGTTACATGGCAAAAACTAGCCCACAGCCCACCAGATGGACAGCTACGACAATATAATTTTTATTGAAAAATTATAATCAGTTACAGTATATTACTTTTCTTTGCTTTTTAAAGTGTTACTAAACCCACAACAGTAAAATCAGTCTGTATATGTAGTAAAGCATGCTTGTTATACTCACTGTGGAATCTAAGGGGTTAATCCTCTGCATTGTGTAAAAAGGATGTTTGAGCTTGACTTCTCTGATACTCCCCCTCTTCTACTGTCCTCAATCCATCTGCTGATAGTACAGAGCTCTAGGAATCACTCTGCACATGCTCAGTTTGGTGTGTATTGCTAGAGACTTTTTTTTGGGGGGCAAGGGTGCATGTGATTGATGCAGAGTCAATCAGCACTGTCCAGACAGAGGGTCAGGGGTACGCAGCCTCATAGGACAGTGAGAGGAGAATGAAAACTCCTCCTACAAGATTAACCAGTGCTTAGCTAGACACTGATAGAAGTCACAAGACTGTTATACACTGCTGATGAGAAAAGGTATTTAGCAGTTTATATTTACTAAAAAAATTGCATTTCCATGTGCTGTGTACTGTGGGAGACTGGATATAAGAATGCAGGGTCCTGGGTATAGTAACACTTTAACCTCCCTGGAGGTATTCCCGAGTGTAGCTCGGGGTAAAGTTTCAGCACCACAAGCGGTAACCCCGAGCTACACTCGGGAATACCCTGCACCGTTGCTCCGGGATCTCTTCTTCACTTACCTTGTCCTGCGCTCCCACGATGTCCCTCCTGCAGTGTCCCTGGCCATGTCCTCCGGTGGATGCCGGCATCTGTCTTCCGGGTTCCGTTTCATGCGATGTCGGGACGTACGGGGACGGAACTGGCGGGAAATTTGAAAGTTGTAAAAGTGACATTCACTAAATTCACTTAAATCACATAGTAAAACATTACTGTATCAAACCATTTCACATACATTTTGTCCCTACTGCTTTGTCCTGTGCCCTGCCTGCATTTTTACTGTTCTTTCTGCCTGGAAACTGAGAAAAGTCCAAAAAGCGTCCCTTTAGGTCAAAATCGTTTTAGATCAGCTAGAGAACAGTGATAGTAAATTAGAACCACTTGCAGAATTGAGTGATAATGATTCGTGGGGAAATTCATCATCAGACACTGAAAACGATTTTGCGACTTTGCTCAGTGATGTGCGAACTTGGCTCTATATTTCAAATTTCAGTGTTTTTGGTTTGATTATATTATTGAATTAAATTTATTATTATTATTATATTATTATTTTTTGTGATTATTTATTAAATTATAATTTATGATTTTGTGTTTCAAATTTTAACATACCCGGGATGTTTACTAGACTCTTGTTTGGACAGATTTCAGTGAGTTATTCCTAAAAATTACAGGCCTACAATAAAAAAAACTACATATTGCCATGCAAAAAATGTACCGCTTTGAGCATAGAAATATGGACATAATCAGACCGCTAGGGAGGCCACGCTCTATAGGACTGAGTTTACACGCAGCTAATGTAAAAGGCTGGTCATACTAGGTTGTTGATAAACTTAGTAATTTCCATATGGAGATGGTATAACAAGGTAAATATGTGCACACTAACACACGATAATAAATGATTTTACTGATATTTATTACACGGTGTAAGCATTAGTGAGCACCCATAAAGAAATAAACTAATAACACTGTTTATTTTCTGATTGCTGTTTTATTGAGGACCAGAGATTGAAGCATATATAACGAAATATTTTATCTGTCCAAAATCAAAGGAATAAAGACAGCATTTGAAAACATCTGAAAATAATACACCGATTTATTTCAGACATAATAAACCATCTTAAATATTGGGATTATAGAGATGAATTGAAGAAAAAAAAAGAATATATATCTTTTAAGTTAGAATGTTTCTCTGACCTTTGACCCAGTATGTTTTTTAACACTTGGGGGTATCGTTCCAATACAAATTGCCCCCCCTTCCTCCTTCTCATTAGGATGCAGACTGCAGACTAGCTGTAAGCAAGGTCTGGGAGCGGTGAAGGTCAGAACCGAGGAGCATTAATATTCATCCTAAATATTTTTATCACTTCCAGCTCGCATCCCTATCTGCTTAACCCCCAGATGCCTGGATTACATGGGGTGATCACCCCCTGACTTTAGATTCTGTAAGACTTGTAAATCCTGGAGGGGGAAGGGTAGTGGTCATAACAATAGGGTCATCAGTCACCTAACGAATGATGATGGCCAAAAGTTTCACTTCTATGGAGACCTTACACGTATATTTATATACTTTATGGATACATTGTTTTTTTTTAGGAAAGACTGGCTTTGAGGAGTATTATGTAGGATCTATTTTCTTTTGTGATATATTTGTGTTTACGCAAAGTAGAGCAAGAAAAGGAAATACTGAACTGATAAAATACTAAATCATCTACTCCATAATTTTTACCTAGGGTATTTTTATTAATTCATGATTTTATTGTGTTGAACCCCCCAAGCCGGTAGAAATTTTCAGAGAACTTGTTTCTACCACTGTTCAGCATGCAGAAAATGGCCACAGAAAATGCTGTTTATCTCCTTCATGGGGACAATTGAGCAAGTTACTGCTCTTCAGAGCTGGCTTTTGGGTTTCTTGCGAACAGATACATATCTCGGTATATGAAGTTGAGTGCTACAGAGTCTCTTTCAGCCTCAGCTCCAAAGAATCAATCAGCAGACTGCAGTGCCAATCTCTAATCAGCAGTCTGCGCCCCCCCCGGCACTCTCATCATCCGCCCTGTCATATCTCTCATACTCCTCCCTCTCATCTCTCCTTGCTCTCCAGGATTTGCTTCCATTTTTTTTCACTCTGAATCATTCCTTCACTGCCATCTCCCTCCCTCCCTCCCTCCCTCCCTCCGCTTCCCTCATATTCTCTGCACCCTTTCATTCTGCTATCTCTCCTGCTCTCCTATATATTCTCTCACTTTATCACATTATCTTTGAGTGTCACTCTTCCTTTCTGCCTTAACTTACACTATCATTTATCTCCCTCGCTGTTTCTCTCTGTCATTCATGTCCTCCTTCATCTATCATTCTACTCTGTATATTTCCCATTAAGGACTCCCACTCTTTAGCTCGGTATGGTAAAGCGCTCAATCACACTTTTTCACTCATTAAAAAGACTTATTCTTAATCGGTGATGTCAATAAATATTAAATATAACTCTTTTTGTTTTCCCCTAGATAATTTGCCCCCAGAATCTGATATCTTAAATGGTTCATATTATTCAAATTCATTAAAAAAATAAGCAGAGATTTGGTTTAAGAAAATAAAAGTAGACATAAACCCTATGTGAATGACATTTAGTTTTTTTCTTTTATCCTACCCTTTTTTTTTTTATCCCTTTTCTTTCAGAAAAGCCGATCCACCACGGGCAGAGTTCAAAGTCAGGCAGCGCATTTATTCAAAGCATTGCTATACAGACACAGAAGTCAAGGACACACATTTCTGCTCTTGGGCTAAATGGAGTCATAAGGCAATTTAATATGTTAAAGTAGATGTAAACCCTTACTGAATGACATTAAAATGATAAGAAACCAGCCTTTCTCAACCTTTTTATACTGGAGGAACCCTTGAAATAACGTTCTGGTCTCAGGGAACCCTGCTAAAGATGATTTCATCTGGAGCTCACTATACATTAGAGCAGTGGTTCTTAACCTTGTTGGAGGTACTGAACCCCAGCAGTTTCATATGCGCATTCACCGAACCCTTCTTAATTGGAAAAAAATAAAATATGATTTTTAAAATTCAAAACATAGGTATATATTTATACATAGGTGCGCAAAATGAACAAAACCATTAAGAACAAAGAACAAAACCATTAAAACATGATTTTCACACAAAAAAAACAAAAACATAATAATGAATATTTACTGCACGAATTATATGAGTCAGGTGTGGGTCTTCACCTCTGCCGAACCCGCGAGACTGACTCACTGAACCCCTGGGGTTCGATCGAACCCAGGTTAAGAACCACTGTTTTATAGTAATTCATCCCCCATAGTAATTCATCCCCCATATAGTAATTCATCCCCCATATAGTAATTCATCCCCCATAGTAATTCATCCCCCCTATAGTAATTCATCCCCCATATAGTAATTCATCCCCATAGTAATTCATCCCCCATATAGTAATTCATCCCCCATAGTAATTCATCCCCCATATAGTAATTCATCCCCCCTATAGTAATTCATCCCCCATATAGTAATTCATCCCCCATAGTAATTCATCCCCCATAGTAATTCATCCCCCATATAGTAATTCATCCCCCATAGTAATTCATCCCCCATATAGTAATTCATCCCCCATAGTAATTCATCCCTCATAGTAATTCATCCCCCATAGTAATTCATCCCCCATATAGTAATTCATCCCCCATATAGTAATTCATCCCCCATAGTAAATTCATCCCCCATATAGTAATTCATCCCCCATAGTAATTCATCCCCCATAGTAATTCATCCCCCATATAGTAATTCATCCCCCCTATAGTAATTCATCCCCCATATTAATTCATCCCTTATATAGTAGTAGTAAGTAAGTAGCAAGTAGTAAGCCAAGTCCCCCCTGTGTCAATTCACTTACCTTTGCTCCGCGCGTTCCTCTCGCTGTATTCCCGCGCCGTTCCGGTTTTCAGGGCGGACTGTGAGAGGAGCCTAGCTCCTCTCACGTTCGTCACGCTGCCCCGCCTACACACATCCTGACAGCCAATCACTGGCTATCAGGATGTGAGTGGCAGCGAGACTGGCCAATCATTGCATTTGAGCGCGCTGCCGCCCGAGAGGAGAGAGGGGAGCGGGCACCCGGCACACAAGAGCCGCATTAAAGCGTGTAAAGAGCCGCATGTGGCTCGTGAGCCACGGCTTGCCGACCACTGGGCTAAGCAATGTTGCGTGACCACCTGCAGCCAATGATGGACAAGCGGGGCATGTCATCACGAATCATATGAGTCGGGTGTGGGTCTTCACCTCCGCCGAACCCGCGAGACTGACTCACCGAACCCCTGGGGTTCGATCGAACCCAGGTTAAGAACCACTGCATTAGTGTGATGGACAAGGAGAGGAATGTTCCTTACCCCTGTGGTCACTGGGACAAACCCCTCTCTTTACAGATAGCTAAGCAGATCACTGGTTTCAGTGGCAACTTATCTTTGTGGGTAATTGGCCCTTGCTGAAGGGACCTCTAGCAAAATCTGATGGACCTGTGGGGTTCCACAGAACCCTGGTTGAGAAAGGGTGTATTAAACCCTCTTTTGTTTAAAAACATTCAGCAGCTGATTTAACCACTTACAGAGTATACAACATCTTTATTTTTTAATCCTTTACAATTTTTCAGCTTAGGCTGGTGTTATGAATGTAGCCCCAGGTTTTCTGTATAGGGTGGCTCCTTTCTCTGGCAGCATGCTATGGAGTCACTCTTGCATGCAGGGACTAGATTGGTGTCTCCCTACACTATGTCCATCTACAGAAACAAACAGCCTCATAGCCTAGGATGGCAAGGTACTCCTCTGCTTCTTCTGTATGCTAGGTTCACATATGTGCTGGTGGTGCCACTGCTAATCTGCTCAAAAATCCATGCAGCCGCACCACCCACACAGAAGAATGCGGACCCGCGGGCGATTGCCTGCACTGGAAATCACAACCGTACTGGGAACTGAGGTTACCATGCGGGCTGCATTTTCAGAAGTGCAGGGACTTCTACCCTGCGTGTCCTGGGGCACGGTAGTCCGTTCAAATGAATAGCCTCTTGTGCCCGTGCAAAACGCGGACCGCAGTAACGCGGATATGTGAACCAGGGGTTAGTGAAGACAGGGAGATAACACAGGAGTGCAGAGTGTGAGTGTTGTCACTAAGGATAAGCTTGGGCTCAGTCCAAACTTGGAAGGCAGCTCTCAGTGCCAGGCCAATGAACTGTGGAT